CGAGCTGTTGGAGCTTGAGGATGCCACCGCGACCTCCGGGGTTAGAGATACGATTGCTGTGGTTGCTAGCGAGGGCAACGGCATTGTGAAACGGCTGGATGGTAATACTGGAAAGACTGTTTGGGAATACAAGGATGCAAGGTTGGTCTCGTCTTTGCTTTTTTTTTTTTAACCTGTCCCAAGCTAATCAATTGTTCTTCTAGCGGCGACATCCCGTTCCAAGTCTCGTCTTCTTCCACCGAGGTCTTCTATATTTCTCTCCACTCGGCTATGTTGAAGGGGTTCAAGATCAAAGTCACTGTTTTGGATCCATTGACTGGGCGACAGACTCGTCATCAAATTCTGAACTCTGAGGCTGATGTGGCTACCCCGGAGTCCGTCCTCTATGTGGGCGCTAATTCCGCCTCGCCTATCATCGTCTGGGCCGACAAATCGCAAAAGTCCCTGAAGGTCAATGTTATTGGTACTAAGGAGGTCACTTCTATCGCCATTGACAATACCTCCGGCTCCGGAATTCGACAAATCACGGTCCACGCTCCCCACAAGCTTAATGCTCTGCCCCATTTCTTGGTCCACTTTGAAACTGAGGCCGGAGCCTGGGCTGAGGTTTACCATGTGGACTTGGTGTCTGCTAAGGTCACCAAGGCTTACCGGCTACCCTATCTCTCCGGCCAGTCAGCAGTTGCAGTCAGTGTCATTGACGCTAATGTTTATTTCACTCGAGTCACCGACTTGGAGGCCGTTGTTGTATCATCCGCCTCTCATGGGATTCTGGGACGATGGGATCTACAAAAGCCTTCATCTGATATTGCCCTTCACTCGGTATCCGAGGTTGTCGCCAAAGGAAAGTCCGTGGCTGTTAGGACAGCACTTTTCCGGAAGTATGGAGACTGGCAACTTATCCGAAATGGCCAGATCGAGTGGACTCGGCATGAGGGTCTCATTGATACTGTTGCAGCTACATGGGCGGAAACTGACGCCCAAGAAGATCTAGCCCATGAATTGGAGGTCGAGGGTCACGAGACTTTGTACGGCGCGTACCTACACCGGGTCAAGCGTCATGTCCGGGACTTGGAACATCTACCCGACTGGCTGAAGGATCTGCCGAAGCGCATTCTGAGCAGTATCTTGACCGACGAAGTGTCCAACCTGGACAGCTTTGGACTTGCCAAATCAGTTATTGTCGCCACCAAGAGCGGCCGTGTATACGCCTTGGATACTGGAAACCACGGCGCCGTTTCCTGGGGCATCCAGGCAGTGGAGACATCGGACTGGAATGTGAAGGCTATGTTGACTTCGCCAGGAGTCGTGACTATCTACTCCGACGACGGAGGCTCTGTGACTGTGGATGTGTCGACAGGGGAGATCGTTTCCCGCATCGAACCATCTACCAGCAAACTCCACTCGATTGCTGTCTTCGAGATGCAGGATGGAAGCTCGCTGGCCACCGTCGGTATCCGTGAAGATGGTACACCAGTCGCTGCATTTGCCAACGAAGATGGATTCTTGGTAACCACTAGCATTGATGGCCGAGTCCTCGGCTGGGCTGCGAAGGATAACAAGACTCCTGTGTGGGAGTTTGTTCCTCCCTCCGGACAGAAGGTCGTCGAAGCGACCGCTCGTCCTGCGCATGACCCTGTGGCGTCCATCGGCAGGGTCCTTGGAAACCGCTCGGTCCTTTACAAGTACCTCAACCCCAACCTCGCCCTGGTGACTGCAGTGAACGAGCAGACCCACACTGCCAGTTTCTACCTGTTAGACGGAGTCTCAGGCAATGTCATCCACGCATCCACCCAAGCAGGCGTGGACTCTACGCAACCCATTGCTTCCGCGATGTCCGAGAACTGGTTCGCCTACTCGTTCTGGGGCGACGTTGATGGAAGCGAGTCCTCCGCCAAGGGCTACCAGCTGGTCATCTCGGAGCTCTACGAATCCCCCTTGCCCAACGACCGTGGTCTCCTTGACTCTGCCACAAACTACTCTAGCACCGCCATCCTCCCGTTGCCCTACGTCATCTCCCAGGCCTTCATGATCCCCGAATCAATCTCCCACATGGCCGTCACTCAAACGCGCCAGGGAATCACCACCCGCCAGCTTCTTTGCACTCTCCCCTCCTCCAACTCCATAGTCGGCATTCCTCGCCCCGTCCTCGACCCTCGCCGCCCTGTCGACCGTGACCCTACCGCGGCCGAAGCCGAAGAAGGCCTATTCCGCTACGCCCCCTACCTCGACTTCGATGGCAAATGGTACCTCTCGCACACGCGCGATGTCGCCGGCATCAATGCTGTGCTCTCTCGCCCTACCCTGTTGGAAAGTACCAGTCTCATCTTCGCTTACGGAAGCGATATTTTCGGTACCCGAGCTACGCCCAGCCAGGCATTTGATATCCTTGGCAAGAGCTTCTCCAAGCTGCAACTCGTTCTCACTGTGGTGGCACTCGGAGCGGGTGTCGCCGTTTTGGCTCCGATGGTAAGTCTTTTGTCTAACTGCTCCCGGTACATTTGCTAATTATTTTTGTCTAGACTCGAAAGAAGCAAGTTAATGCCCTGTGGAGGGCTTAGGCCTGATAGGCTCATATACCAGATGCCATATGTGCTCTAAACTGTAATAAATACATTGCTTCAATTCTCTGCATATAGTAACATCTTAAATACCAGATTTGCTCGCCACGTACTCGAGCCAAACTAGCCTGCTCAGAAAAATATGCCTGCTCAGAATAATATGCGGTGTGGTATACAGAAAGTCATTGGTCATGGGGAACATTTCATTCATAGACATGATATCCAAAGGATCCAACGTCGCATCAAACAGTGTAACTAGTGAGCAAAAGAAAACAATAGCAACCATGTCAACAACCCTCTGCAACACTGCACAGGCTTTATAAGTACTGATTTCCACACCAGAAGCAAAACTATCAACAAGCCAACCTCACTCAATACAACGGCATAGGCGACGAATTGACATAATCAACATTGTTCTCAACCGATTCAACACGATCAGTACAAGTCCCAAAGACCCGATCCCAAAGCCTCGTCTGCTTCCCATAGTTATGACTCTTCCTCCAACCCTTCCGATGATGCAAATCATGATCCTCAATAACAAGCTCCGCCCCAAACCACCGCAAAGCCCAACTCAACGTCGACGGCGGCGTAGCATGAACCCGCAGCCCACTATGCCCCGCCAACTCCGCGAATACCACATACTGATGGCAAACCCACCACTCATAAAACCCCATCGGCATGCCCACAGCCCGCATGCTGAAATACGTCATAAGCGGGATGCCGAGGATATCAAAGAACTCCTGCTCCGAGTCCGCGTACAGCGTCAGCAGCGGGTTCGGATGCTTGGTGAGGTGGTGCGTGCGGTGGTATTTCCACAACGCGCCCACGTCATGCATCAGTCGGTGGTACCAGTAGAACCAGAAGTCGAGGACGATACCGTACAGCCCGGCTTCGAGGGGCAGCCAGAGGAAGCTGATCGTGGAGGGCGGGTGTGTGGCGTGGTAGGCGATGAAGACGGTGAACATTGGGCGGAGGGTTGATGTTAACATGAGTGAGAAGACGACCTTGGCGACGCCGACGTCTGGGACGCCGTCGCGCGCGTGCTTGTCGCCGTCTAGGAAGCCGTGCTGGTGGCCTACTCGTCGTAGGACGTGGATTTCGTGGATGGCGATGGCTTTGAAGGCGAGGCCGTAGAGGAAGAAGGCGCCCCAGGCGCTGAGGTTGTGGCCGGTGATCTCGACGTACGCGTGGTGGATCAGGAGGGGGATGGCGGCGTGCGTGAGCACCCAGCGGTGCATGGACCAGTCTGGGATGTACGGCACGGCATCTTCCTTTAGATGGACGGGCACGTTCTTGTCGAGGTGTTCGGGGTGGATGCCGAGGACTTCGTAGAACCAGTGGAAGAGTGTCCACTCTGAGCGGGCTTGCTGCCGCCAGGTGGACTTCATGGAGTCTTTTGCGTTACGATTCATGGCTGATTCGTGATCTGTATAAGGGTGTCGGAGTGCACGCTTCGATCTACCCCAGGTACGGGGCTTAGTGGGTTTATGTGCTTGGGCTTATTGTCGATCCCTCCCCCAGTCGTTCGGCCATTGGCGACGCTCGGCGCATGTGAAGAAGAATGCCCACTCTTTCACGCTCCCCGCAAAATGAGCCTCGGGCATTTGACTGGGTTAGAGCGTGGCGTCGATCATATCTCATCTTGGATCTCTTTCCCAACAACATGGCCGTTTACCGCGTTAGCGAGCTACCGCTTGGGCCTGACATGGTTACCTCGTGTTGAGGGGTGATCATGATACAAGGACATTCATGAGTAAATTATGTTTCCTTGGTTAATCACGACCCGTTTCTAGATGTTCGACGTACTCAGCCGTATAGATGGGATGTGGAGACGTTGCCCTGCGTCTGCATCTACATGGGCTCGAGTCATGTGCTCAACCAAAGCCCTCATTCTAATTGGTCGACTTGCATATATTTCGGGGATTTCTGTATGATTCATTATCCGATGCTCAAGGATGAGTTATACTCTCTTAGTAAATCTTCATAGAGACTTAGCTACAGTATATACTGGACGCACTCAAAATATATAAATATGGTGATGCACATCTGTTCGGTACTCAAAGGAGTACATTTTATAGACGACCAGATGTCAAGCATAATCAAGGCTCATGAACAGTGTAAATACGAGTCAATCCAGATGGAGAACAAACCAGAGCAAGCTACTCCATACGGGGAGAGAGTATATAAATTTTGGGAAGATGAAACCAGAACATACCCCAACATGCCACCCACATCATGCCATAGATGCATATGCACATGCAGTTCCCACTTCATGATAATATATAAACCGACATATATCCAAGAACAAAACAGAGAGAAGAAAAAAATATGCCTCGGTATTGAGATCTGCGCTATCTTGTGCTATGTCACATCGCTAATTGTATGTCCAACACAAATCCCAACACGGTATTCCCGCTACCTTTCTATGTGCTCTGTGCTCTATACGGAAACATGATTCTCATCGACGGATAACTGGTCGATTTTGACCGCCACGTTGTCGATGGTTTTCTCGCTATCGTCTACCTTAGTCTCTGCGCCATTAGGCGCCGCCTTCTCTGCAGAGCTATCGGAGTTAGCCTCTGACTCAACCGAAGCCTGGAGTTTCGGGATGGGAACGATTTCTCTCCGCTTCGTCTGCGTTCCATCCATAGTGCCTAGGACCTGGAGGTGATCGCCGTTGAACAGAACAGGTCCCTTGATGATTTCTCTCCGCTTTTGGCCCTCGGCGAGCGGTTGCTCGATGCCGCGGAGCAGCTCGCTGGTGGGCTCGTCCAGGTTGGGCATATCGCCCCACGCCCAGTCCAGCTCGCCACCGAATTGCTTGGGGATGCTGGTTGGCTCCATGAAGGAGTTGAGAGTGGGCGTGACCTCTGAGGCGGAGAGAATGAAGATCTTCGAGGTGGTTCCTGGGTCAAACCAGCGCTTGATCCAGCCCCAGACGGTTGGAAAGAATGCGGGTGCTCCGATGATCTGACAGCGAGTTAGTTTCACGAACTTATCTTCAACTCCCTGGACGTATTAAACGGGGGCGCAACATACAAAGATCCGATCTAATGTCTCCGGGTAATGCGCCGTGGCCAAAACACTAGCATCCTGCATGTGACCCTTCAAGTTCCAGAACTGCTTCAGCCCGACACCGCCGACATCCACGATATTGGTCGACGTCACGATAGGCGTCTCCGGGTTCGGACGTGGCAGCGCCGAGGAGAGCGGCATCACGAAGCGCAGAAGGTTCTCATACAACGCGAAGAGATTCAACAAGCGCGCAGGAACTTTGGATGATTTGTGCGTCTCGGGTGTACCGCTATTCATGGTGGAGTTGTAAGCGGCGACAGCCTTGTGATCCAGGTGGCGGATCTGGAAGACGTAGACGGGGATTCCGCGGCGATCGCGACGGCCAGTCCATTGGGGATACTACAGAGACAGTAGATGTCAGCACGAGGTCGGGGTATTCATTTCACAGGGTATTATAACACGCACCATCCGCCGAGCGGCTTCATATGAGTCAATCTTGATATTCGCATACAGCTCCTCGATGGCGTTGTCTTTGCGCCAGTCTTCGGTGTCCTTGAATTGGGCCCACGCGCCCTCAACGTCGAACTTGCGAGCTCGGAGGAATCGCCTGCGCAAATAATCAAAGTCAGCACTCAATCGTTCGGTTTGATTTTGTTCATTTCTAGCTGGATTGGGGTTTAAGGTGGACGCGCCACATTCACATACAATAAAGTCGCATCGTCCTGGCTGGCCGGCTTCGCCTCGACGCCATCTGCTTGTTTCACGGCAGGGGTGTAATATTTCCGCTCAGCGCACACTTTCTTGAACTCTTCCAGCTTTTCCTCCTGCTCCGGTGTAAGGTGGTGCAAGTGCCCGGCGAGCCAGGCGGTGCCGGAAGCTTGTGAGGCGGATGCGGCGGGATCGTTCTTCGTAGCTGAATCGGTGCGGGCCAGGTCCTCTCCGGAGTCCTGCGGAGTTTTGTTGCCCCAAAACATGGTGAGCTCTGATCTCTCAAGTTTGTTTACTTTTTTGCAGGAGAGATCGCCCTTTCCAAAACAGACGTCGGAGGTGGCGGAGGGAAGGAGGCGGTGAAATAAATGTGACGGTGTTTTGACCCGAGCGTCGGTGTTTTCTGGGGGTTGACTCTATTTGTGATACATCTTTGCTCTCTATCAGATTCACAGGTGGGATTTAGGTCTTCTTGAGAATGTTGAACATCGTTGAACATCGTTGAGTATCTTTTTGCCCAACACCTGCCGAAGTACATCGCCGATCCATCGATCAACAAAGCTAATTGGCCGGATCAACCAAGGTAGTAACAGACGAAGCAGGCGATATAAAAAACACAAAATGCAATAAATTTCCGGCCTAAATTAAAAATAAGCACCATATCTCAGTGTATATGGCACAGCCAGATGCTAATCATAGGGCCATCCCAACCAATATCTGTACAGGTCACCCTCGTGCAGCTCAAAATTCAAATAGATACAAGAAGTCAGTCCTCGGTCAGATCACCATACTCCCAGATACCGCGACGCTCGGCCTTGGCCTCGTCCTCGAGCGCGCGCAGGTTGGAGAGGGTATCGACGGAGGCACGCTCCCACGCCTTCAGCTTGCGGGGTACCATGGCCAGACCCTCTTGAATGATGTCGGCGTTGATGCTGTTATCCAGGTTCTTGGAAGCGGAGGGGTCGAGGAGAGTGACGTGCAGGGTGCCGTCCTGGTCAACGTGGTCAACATTCGCGACAAGCTGACGGTCGAAGGTCTGGTCGCCGACGAAGCCGACAGCATCCTCGAGGTAATCCTCGGAGGTGGGGAACTGAAGAAGAGAGAGGACTGCATCAATGGCCTGGGGGCGGAGGGTCTGGGAGGAGAATTGGGGTTGGGTAAGAGGGCGAAGTGATGCCCATGGCAGAATCTCGGAGTTGCCAAAGTCGATGTAGACTACCTCGGCCTGCTCCTTCTCGCGGTCGTTTCGGCGCACCTTGGCGCGGTACCAGGCGCCGTCTTCGGTGAATTGGGCGGCAACCCAGTCGCCAGCCTTGGGAGGGCCGGGCAGCGGGGTGTCGTTGGCCTTGTTGATGTGGAACTTGCGGAAAGCGCTCATCAGCTCGGTGAGCGCGTTGGTACCGGTGCCGATCTGTTGCAGCTTGAGCTTGGCGGAGGTAGGGTCGATGTAGGTAACCATAACGTCGCGGTAGTCCTTGCGACGCTGTGCGGGGGCGGCATCGCTTTCAGCGCCAGTTCCCGCGCCATTGGCAGCCTCGGCTTCCTCAGCCTCAGCGGCCTCCTTGGCGGGGTCCCAGTCGTGCCACAAACCTTTGCGGGCGTCCTTAGCCCGCTGCTCAGCAGCGAAGTACTCGGCGGCGTGACCAGACTGCTCAGCCGAGTATGCATGGACGGTGGCGAAACCCTCCTCCAACAGAACGGTGGTGAAGTTCTCCTTGTTGATATACAGGCTGCCGATGAATCCGCCAACCTTGTCAATGGTCTCAACGTCAATCTCAACGTCGCGCTGCATGCAGCGGCGGTTGGCAAGGTCGTGAGCCTCCTGGCCGAAAGGCTCACCGGCGTCGCTGGGCCCGCGGGAAGAGCGAGGGGCACGGATGCCGGACAGGACGAGAGTCAATTTGGCGTTATCACGGGGAACCAGAACAGTGAAGCGAGATCCAGACTTCACAAAGTCGACGACAGCAGGGACACGCTTTTGGCGCTGCAAGATACCAAGCTCCAGCTTGGCCTTTTGCACGCTCTCTGAATAGTCCACCACCTGTTTCGCCTTGGGAGGCTTGGAAGTCCACATTCCACGGCCCTCCTTCTGGGCATCAGCCTCAGCAGCGAGCAGCGCATCGTAGTCGGGAGACCGGTCAGCGTCGTCCATGCGGTGGCGAATGACAGAGGCGTAACCTGCCTCTACAAGAGCCAAACCAACGTTGGTGTTACCGTGAACAACAGTAGCAACCTCGCGCTCCTCGTAGCCTTCGTTTGCAGGCTTCTTGCCGTTGACGGTGACCAGGACATGCTTGGCAATCACTCGCTTGCGCAGGAACTCCTTCGCCTCAGCAGCAAAGGGAGACTGCTTAGGGTCGGAGGGTTTTGGCTGACGGATACTAGCGAGACTGATCTTCTTCTCCTGTCCAGCCTTGTTGCGGATAAAGAGGGTATCAGCATTCAAAACACGGGTGACAACATAGTCCACAGCCGCGGCACCAGCAGTGGTGGGTCCGGTGTGGCTAACCCACAATCCCTTGCGATCGGCCTTTGCTGTAAGCTCCGCCTGGCGGAGAAGAGCCATGTCCGAACCTAAAAGTGTGGAGTGGTGATCCTGGCAGCGGGCTAGACCAGCCTCAAGAAGGAATCGAGAGATGTTTCCATTGGGGTGAAGGAGGGTGGCAACAATCTGTCCCTGCGGCGTAACACCAAGCAAAGAAACCTTGACCTTGCGCTGCAACAATCGTTCCTCAACAAACTGCAGTGCCTCATCACCAAACGGCTCAGCCGCGGTCTCCTTGCCATCAGCAGTTGTGCGCTTAGCGGATGGTGCCCGGATACCAGCAACGGCAATGACAGTCTGAATGTGCTCCTGCGGCTTGAGCAGCAAACGCAGCACAACACGGTCACCGTTCAGGACCTTCTCAATGATACCTTCCAGCTGGTGACCCAAGTTACGTTTAACCAAATCCCGAGCACCAATCAATTCGTAGCTAGTGTCGATGTGCCCGTCGTCACCGCCAGCCCAAGTTCCCTTTCCTTCCTCCTGGGCGAGGGATTGCAATGCCCGCAGACGGTCCAGGAGTCCAATGGTCTCCTCAGATTCATCTCCACGCTTGCCTGCTTCTTCGCGGACTCGGGTCCAGCCCTCCTGCACACTGATATCGGGCAATGAGGCATCGAAACCGGGCAGCTTGATGGTACCGTAGTCGCGCTTGGCACCAGAGGGGATGGTGTACACAACGTGGAACTGGATGACCTTGCCGACAAGGAGCTCGCGGAGGAATTCGCGTGATTGGAAGGCGTATGGCTATAATTGATTCTTTGGATTAGCCTTATCTCTTTCGATCTCTTCGCTTTTTAGGTAGGGCCATTTGTTCAATGCTAAATGGAGCTCTTGTGACCAGAAAGCCAATTTGGAGATCACACAAGCAGCAATTTGGTCTTCCAATGGTGCAATCAACAGGCAATCAATCTCAACAATGCACCTACCTCATCACCCTCTCTCCTTAATCTTGGAGCAGAGACATAAGCCAAACTCAGGACACGTTCTTGTGAAGGGTTGGTGATATGCGACAGCACGACCGTGTCACCGGACAGGACAGACTTGACCCGGGCTTCGAAAGGCATACTGAATGAAACAGTCTCCACTACCACATGCACAATTGTGATGAGATTGAAGACAGAACCAGAATAAAAGTATAAAAGAAAACACAAGAGAAAAGGAAGTTGAGAGCAAACAGAATGGCCTGAGGGGAAACGTGGCCGGTGTTTAGACTTGTGGGGAAAGCGGTCAGCCGTCCGAGCTTCTACGGAAGTCTACAAAGCATCGAAGCTATACAGTGGTCATCGATCATGACAGATATCCAAATCCAAATATTCACATGTCAAATTGGCATTCATTCATGTATCCTAGACGGAGTATCCTGCATTTTCCATCCACCAATTACGGGGATATCAAAATCCAGGGTTCAAAAGGGAATAGAGCTGCATTTATGCGGCAATACCAATGACACCTAGAAGAGATTATTAGCATTCATCTCCACCTCAGCACGCCTTCATGAACTTACCGCAAGCAGGGCGGGGACCGGCGTTACCAGTCTTCTTGGACTCCTCGTTACCACCCTTGCCGAGGTCATCGGTACCGGCGTGGACGACGAGAGTGCGCTAAACAATGTTAGCAATCTGCCTCGACAATACTAGATTAATTATAAACTTACGCCCAGAACGGACTCGGCACCAATCAGCTTGACGAGGCTGTCCTGCTTGGAGCCGTTGGCATTACCCTCAGCGTCAGTCTTGAAGTTGCCAAGGTCACCGACGTGACGGTCGGTGTCAGTGGGAGCACCGTGGTTCTTGCCGAAGGGGTTGACTAGAAGCGATCAGCATCCCATCCTTCCTCCTCATACCTGGCTGATCAATGACATACAGTGGGGGCCAGCGGAGGTGCAGCCGTTGGTGTTGTCACCGAACTGGTGAACGTGGAAAGCACGCTCAGCGTTGGCATCGTGGCCGGTGATGTTCCAGGAGATGGTGGTAGGGGCACTCTCGCTAGCCTGCTCGAAGGTGACGGTGCCGGCGACCTTAGCGTCACCACGGAGAACAGCAACTGCACGGAAAGGAAAGAGGTCAATGAATTGTTCCAGAATGCTTATCGAAGGCTGTCCGGCATGCCGGCTACTAGATCTCCAGAGCCCCTGTCTGGTCCCAGCCTCAGCAACGGCTCGTGCCGCACCCAGGATCAGGATGCCATGCTTCTAGCAAATGAGCAGCGATGATCCCCGGATTGTCCCAGAGGTATTGGCAGATACCCAGACAGCAGTGGAGAGCTAGAGCGAGGACGCAAGCCGATAGGCCCGGATTTGCGCTCTGGATCACAAGGTGCTCAAATCTGCTCACACCCAAGGTCCTTGCCACCGATCGTGGGGAACTTGGAGACTGAGGAGAGCTTATGTATGGCCCAGAGAGAACCAATAATGGACATTACTTACCAGCCTTGACCATTTTGATTATCTTAAAATGTTTTAAATTGAAGATTGAAGATTGAGAATGAGGATTGTGAAGAAGAGGAGAGGAAGTGGGCGGAGGGAGATAATAAGGCGAATGATGTCGACGTGACTCTACACTTGTATGGATCAAGTACTGGGTACATGTATCGCAGTATAAACAGAGCTCTGTATACGTGTACTCGGTACTTAATACCACAGCAAAACATCCCCCACCTTCCCAAGTGGGTAGCAAGTCGGAACGAGGGGGAATAATTATGACATAATTATTAATAATGTGCATACTGCTGTGTAAATAATTGCTGCCACATACCCCAATAGCTGCATGCTAGAAGTGTTATGCAGTCTGCAATACCATTGTACACTTGTCTCACAGCTACAGCTCCAACCCATCCTAATAGCATTGTCACAACCTCGGGTAATATAAGATGCCAGGATAACTCTGCTCCGGGTGAAATGACACCATAGCTGGAAAGCAGTAGAAGGCTAAACTAGTGCGGGGGCCTGAATAAGCCGGCCCGGCCAGATTCCGCGGTTCCCTTTACCCCTCAAGTCTGATCTGCTACACCGACACCGGAGAATTATATATCAAAATAGCACTGAGGCCAAATTCATCAATTCGTATCTACCGATTCCAATTTTTTGGGAGATCGCCAATTTACAAGAAATTAAACAATTAAAAGAAGATCTAAGCCTGAATCTTCTGGGCAAGGAGCTCCTTGAGGGTAACCGCATCAGCAGCGAACTTGGAGATACCCTCACGGAGCTTCTCAACAGCCATGGCCTCCTCGTTGAAGTCGAAGCGGAACTGAGCCTCGTTGTTGAGGTACTCGCGCTTCTTGATATCAAGGTTGGAGGCATCGGCGGCGTTGAGCTTCTGGGGCACGGCTTCGGTGGAGTTGTACAGGCTCTCCAGGAGGTTGGGGGAGATGGTCAGGTAGTCACAACCAGCCAGCTCGGTGATCTCGCCGGTGTTACGGAAAGAGGCACCCATGACAATGGTCTTGTAGCCGAACTTCTTGTAGTAGTTGTAGATGTCCTGGACGGACTTGACACCGGGGTCCTCCTGGGGGGTGTAGTCGCGCTTGTGGGCAGCCTTGAACCAGTCAAGAATGCGACCAACGAAGGGAGAGATGAGGTAGGCACCGGCCTCGGCACCGGCAATGGCCTGAACCAGAGAGAACATGAGGGTCAGGTTGCAGTTGATGCCGTGCTGGGACTGGAGGATGTGAGCGGCCTTGATGCCCTCGTAGGTGGAGGCAATCTTGATCAGGACGCGGTCCTTGGAGATACCGTTGTCGGCGTACAGCTGAGTAGCAAGGGTCAGCTCGGAATTGCCGGAAGTCATTTCGCATAAACTCGTGCACGTACCTTGATGATCTCAAGAGCCTTGTTGACGGAAGCCTGGGTATCGAAGGACAGCTTGGCGTCGACCTCGGTGGAGACCTTGCCGGGAATGATCTGAAGAATCTCCTTTCCGAATTGCACGAGGAGACGGTCGAGGGTGGCCTCAACCTGCTCATCGAGGGTCTTTCCGTTCTTCTTGCCATAGGCAACGGCAGTGTCGATGAGAGTGGCATACTCGGGCTTCTTGGAAGCAGCCAGAATCAAAGAGGGGTTGGTGGTGGCATCCTGGGGCTTGTACTTGCCAATAGCTGTGGTTGAAGTTAGCTAGCTGTCCAATGCTGGAACCCATATCATCAAGCAAAGTCTGGAATACATACTGGCGAAGTCACCTAAATATTTAGTGTTAGCGTGTTTTCAATACAACCCAAATAATCAGATTGAGAGCTTACCAGAGTCGCAAACGACAACGGTGCCAGTAGCCTTGAGCTGTTCAAGAGAAGAAGACATTTTTTGATGTTTTGAAAGTGAAATGAAGAAAGTATGAAGAGAGAAGGAGAGTGGCGGACGGCGCGGTGTTTAAGAAGGAGGGGTGGTGTCATTGACCAGTCCCAGATCAATTGCCGGGTACTTGCGCTTAGTATGGGGACGCCATAGTCAACACAAGTACCTTGCCTCTGCCCCATTTTCAGGCGGGGCAAATGACGCTGCACGATGAAATCAGACAGCTCCCCTCGACAACATCCGACTTCTTTTCTTGTTTTATTTGCCGTTTCCCCTTGGATTCTTGATTCTTCGTTCTAAAATAGCTGCCGTATTTCTATTAATACTCTTCGATTTGTTTTCAATATTTCCTCTGCTTGAACGGCTTGAATAGGTGTACTACAATCCCAAATCCGGCGCAGAGTGCTCCGTCTTCCCCCAACCGGAGGATGGTAGACCGGACAACGGCCCACTACTGTAGCGGTCTTTGCAACGTTCACCGGGGGCCCGGTTAAATACATGTCGACGGCTACGGGGTAGTTATGGAGAAATATGATTTCCGAACAGCTTAACTATGGACCCTACGGATTTCCGAATGGAGGTTGCTTGAAACTTTCAATTGGAAGTACCTATACGGAGTAGTAACATGTATGTATCATTTTCCCTAGGCCCACGGAGTATAGTATGTCTTGTTCAAGAGGGTTTTCTACAGTCTTCCATGTCTTCCATGTCTTCCGTGTCATTGGATCAATCGAATAGCCTTCCAGTCCTGGTGCGGTGCTGTAGTCCATACTCGACCGCCAGTGGCCACTAGTTTTACTTGTGTGTTTATGATCAAAGTAGGGTTATGCGTCCCAGCCAAGTGCAACTTGTGCTCACCCAATACTCATAGGATAGCGAGTCACCCTCAACAACAAGTCTGTAGTATAAAGGACACAGAAGAAGACCGTGTATTAGCCGATCGACTATTGGCAGTTGTCCCTAGAGAAGAAGCTACAAACTGTCCTTCGAGAGAGAGTGGTTAGGCAAGAACAGAGCTTCTACTCACTATGTCTGTTCAAAATTTATGGTCTATATCATGATCTAGTCATTGATCCCATTGTACGGATCGCGATGTTTGCTGTTCGTCTTGTTTGTCATTAGAGCGGCCAGCTATATAAGCAGGCCGTCTCTTACTTTCCACTTGCTTCTTCTTTCTCTCTCTCTTACTATCTCTTACTATCTCAGTCAAGGAGAAGAAGTAGCTGGCTCACCGGGTAAGAGAACGATCAATAAGCCCTATAGTTGACTGAGCATTACTGACATATGGAATCGGCCAGCTATATAAGCAAGCCCTCTCCCACTTTGCCCTTGTTTCTTGTTTCTCTTGCTATCTCAGTCAAGGAGAAGAAGCGGCTGGCCCACAGGGTAAGAGAACGATCAATAAGCCCTATAGTTGACTGAGCATTACTAACATACTGAATAAGCCACCGAATCCAAGGCGAAGGGGTCTCCTCTCTCCCATGAAGAGGTTGGGAACCTCCGGGCCGCGGCCCAAAATGCCATGAAGGTAAGAAATTGCCTGCTGTTTCCACTCTACAAGGAGCAGTCTTCTCTCGGGACTACACGACTAGGCAGGACTGAATATTATTTCTAACGTGTGCATCAATCAGGCTGCTGATGCCACTGAGCATCACGCTGCTGCTGCGGTCGCCCCCGGTAGTGGCTTCTGCTACATGCCAAATTCTCAGATGAATAAGTGCATTTTTCGTCAGAATACTAAGTACGGGAGAGGAAAGGAAGAAAAACTAGCTGCAAGTTCCGTTCCCTGATTTTATGCAAATGACTGTTCTCGCTTGTGCTCGAGATCGTCACAGCTTCACCACTACCGGGTGGCCCTACCAAAGCTTCGGTCCAGAGCGTCCCCATGACCTCCAAGACCTCAATGTTAGAGCATAGGTAAATGTTCAAATCCTGTCATGGAATAACTACTAACGGAGTGATTGTGTCTTTATCTAGCATATTTCAGGATAGAGTTACACGATGCAACGGTCGTGAGATCGAACGAACTCTTCTCCTTGAAGAATCTTCCCGAAGGACTCTGGGGATTTACCTCGAAGGAGCATTTGCTGCCGAAGACGCGCCGACGACAGCTATGATACAACAGGCGGCAAAGAAATGTCCGAGTGTCTTTGCAGATCTTTACAATAATCCTCTGGTTGATCGCATGGAAAAGGAAAACATTCGACCGAGTAATATGAGAAAATTTGCAGAGGCAGCCTTACACCATGATATTCGGATGTGGGTATCACGTACTTCAAACTCTGTGACAGAAATCGAGCTTCGAACACGTTTGTGCGATCTCCCTATATCGTATCCATTTCTACAAAAATTACGCCATGCGTATGCCGAAGAATACCAGATCGAGAATTTATCCTCTCCTGGGAGCTACCCGATTCACTGGTATGACAAGGCATCCTTCTACCAGAAGTAAGTTCCGGGCATGATACCCGTTTACTCGAAAGGTTCTACACCAGTGAAGTATCCACCCTGAGAATCGAAAAGAAGTATGGAGAAGCAGCAGCGAAGAGAGGGAAGAGAAAGGAGCAATAGAGAAAGCCGCGGAGATGACAGTGCTCAAAACCATACTACCTACTGGTGCAGGCCTTTCTTCTGCCAAGCCCTCATGTTGTCTGCTCAAGCATTGATCTACTCATCAACAGGGAGGAGATTCGAATCGACGAGTCTATGGCAAGGTCGGCAATCAAGGTATAAGCGTTGCGGAATAAGCTCTGCCACAGCAGCAATCTTCGATGGTGCCCGCCCCCCGGATATCCCCCGCAATGCCGGAGATGTCGGAGACATGTTGCCCGATGAGCTTGACCAAGACCTGGGAATGTATCGTGAGATCTTTCGGAGGGCTCGGGAGTTGAATGGCATATTGTTATACATGGGGGTCAGGTGATCACCGGACGGATGCCTCAGACACCGACCCCTCAGTACTAGTCGTGCGTTTCGCCCCATACACTGGAGTCTAAAGTCTAAACACATATCATGTTGTTGGATGTGGTGGTTACCTGGCCATCAGCCCAGTGCAGCAGGCACTAACCCCTATAACTAGATAGTTGGGCATTCTGCCCCTTTAGGAATTGACAACTCTCTCCCTCTTTCATCGCACCACTACACTGTAGTCCAATCAGAAACCATGCGATCCTTACAGAATCTCACGCCGCGGGAGTCACAGTCAAGTGCCATGTAATTCCCCAAAAGGGCAACTTCTGGTATAGGTAATGTCCATTACCCAGAACGACCTAGGTAATATCATCTCAGAGGTACTCGGCGCGTATCAAGTGCTAAATCCTCGGTTCCGATTCTTACACTAGCCCTAAGGGTCTGGACTTCTTGTGTCTTCTTCTCACCAAAGTGCCCTTCAATAAGTCTACTAAACTTCCTGTACTCGTCCACCACCTCCTGGATGAACACTCTTTTCCATCCAAGCCGATCCTAAAATAATCGGTATCAGTGCTTTCGAACTCATTGAAATCCACAGCTACGCAGCCAAGGTAGTGACAACCAATTTACATTTCACCGACGAATAGGTGGTCGAGTCCTCTTTCTGACAGTATGCTCGTGTTGATTGGTTGCACAAGTATTGCGAGGTCTGAAAAAGTTTGACGAAGAAGCATGAGCCTCGATGGATGGCTCTAAGCAGCCCGAATTTGGAATTCCCTAGACACATGGGAGATCAATTGAGTTACCCTTGAAGCTGAAGCCGTACCATCATTCAAGACAATAAAGTTATCATTTTCGATATGCCGGTTCCAAAATCAACCTTTATCAGACTTGCTCCATCCTTCCGTCATCATTTCAACGTTTCGTATTCTCCAAATGAACATCTCCTTATGTCTCTTATCCCAAGCTAAAGTCACAGCCAAGTTTCTGTCGAACAGGTTATATGGGCACCATAAGAAGGAACCGCGCGAGTGGAGTGTAGTATGACCATGGAAAATGAATGTCTTGGGTATTTCATTGCATGAACGCAATGTATTTTTGGTCATCTCGATCATAGAGTCACTGTATTCAAGGTCCATGGCTTGTGCCATGAGAGCTATAATCATAATTCGGTCTTGTGCTCATGAGGTTGTCCTGCAGCTCATGATTTTCAAAACATCCAAGAGAGAACGACCGGGCAATTTGAGACGCCGAATAAGTCTGATTGCTACTCGATGGCCGAGAGTTGCGATGTCTTCCGTGATAATGTTATCCTCAAGATCGACAATGACCTCTTCTAGAGGCCTCTCTGGAGATAGTCGATAAGGCACTCAAACCTTGTTGGACATGGCTAGCTCCAAAGCAGTCCAGCCATGTGTGAACCATGGCGATAGAACAAGACCGATAGCAGGGGTGCCATCTTGCCTCCGTGGGAACTGACACAGATACTCATGAACAAGGGTAAATGCTGCGTATTTGTAGTTCAGATGCATATTCTTGAGCATGACATCTTTTGCCCTACGATCTCTTGGGACGCAGATTGTATCCCACCAGAATCCTTTGTAGCCATACCCTGCCGCGACGATCGCAAATCCCCGATAGAGGCATTCCTTGACCCTTCCAGGCTCTCGCAAGCCCACACCCGTGCCATCTGACCACACGTGGGATATAGCAACGTATGTAGATTTAGGTGCAAAGAAGGGAGTGATTGGCTTCGTCATATCGGTTGGCCACACGAATGCACCTTCAGGTGGAGTGGGTGTGGATGCGCTCTCAATTACCATCCTGTCGAAGTCTTCCATGGGGAGTCGTAAGATCTCACATTCCTCTGATTCGCATGTATGAAGTTGTTCTTGGAGAGTGCTATTCTGAGTCTCATGTGAGCAATACTCAGGTGAGCATTGATGATACTCTGGATGAGCAAAAAAGCGAGACGAGTCGGACTGCTTCATGGTATCCAAAATAGCACTTCTTCAGTTCATAATAAGTCACAAATAATATTTATCTCTGTAGTGTCCGTTTCGGCCGCATCAGGGGTGATGATAGGTCTAGAAATGTCAGGAGTCTAGTGTATTGTGCTAGTAGTCCTTTCAGACTTAACGGACCGTTTAAAGTATCTTCTTTATCTTATTCACTCTTGATACATTCTTGACACAGATGAGTGACACAGATGAGAATAGAGTGCGGAAGTAAGGCTTCCTATCTAGACCCAGAGTCGACCAATCAGTACCTGACATATCTGCCGCCCTATCCCACGGCAAACTAGCAAACACGCCTGTCCTGGACTACCTAGGATGGATAGTATTTCAAAACAGCAAATACCTCGTTTTGATTCTCCCTCTCAAAAGTAATCGAAGCCCTTGTAACATGCGTCACGGGGCTGTAACACGCGTCAGGCGTCGCGTGCGAATACTTGCCCCCTCTGTAGAATTCCGGATGCAGCTTCAGTGCCGTATCCTGGTCCCCCAGGTCCCACAGCAAACCACACCATGGTTTGTAATTGTGGATGCCCACGACGATAGTAAATATTTCACCGAAGGAGGATTTGAAGCGAAGCATTCCAGAGGTACCGCTACCTCCCATGAACAGCACATGCTGGCCGTCGTTCTCGGTCCAGGTACATCCATTGGCATAGTACCAGCAGGTTTTTTCGACAACTGTGAGAGCGTCCGAGGTGCTATTCTCGACACGGAGACGGATAGTGTAGGACATTGTAGCGCTACAAGGGTCAGCATGCTCCTGAAGAGCTTGTGGTAGCATACATACAGGATGCTGGTGTGACTAGTATATCTGGACCTGGGATTGTGTATGAGTGCTGCTTGCTGCAGAGTAAATGCTCTAATAGAGAAATAGTGTCTTGTCGAGTCAAGCGGAGGAGACAAGCTCCAATACTCGTGGGATATGGACGCTTTATACAACAAACGGGACCGTGATACGAAGGCTAATAGAGATACCTTCTCTCGGCTATTATTGAGGTATAATTCTATTTGCTACTCAGATCGCCACCGAGAATCCAATCGACATTAGTGCTTCAGCGGTTTGGGCGCTGTGCTCTAGTGCTTACACCTACATTAATCTCACGATGAACCAAAGAGAAGTGGGTTCGGATATGACCGAGCCATATGCCAATCTCACCTGCAGGAAATAGATCACTCGGAGCTGAAATGAAATAATGGCGTCGACGCATATACGGGGATAGGAGAACCCCGAGGCTGCGAGGGTGGCGTAAATGGTTAGTATATACCCGATAGTACGAAGCGACAGGATATGCCCTCTCCAAAAATGCTACTATCAGATTCAGCTCCAGAAGAGCGATGGAACTTGATGTCAGCATTATCATATAAACCCAAAAGGGAATGGCCGGGTCCGATAGTACGAGCCTTTGCCGTGGCGTTCCCAGAAGGGAATCCTACAGCACGGCGCTTAAACTCTGGTAGTGGCTGAGGATTCCTGAGCTGAAGATATTAAAGTGGTGTGCTGACGATAAAGGTTATTTTTGTAGTATGCAGTTAATAAATCCCTCTCCAAAGGCTGGCGGGTGCTAGGGCCACTGGAGATGCCGTACCTAACTGAACTGATAAACAGCTACTCATTAGTTTAACGGGTCACCGGTAGGGACTGGGCGTACGCGGACTGAAGCTGCATAACGACGATCTAGGCTCGGTACAGCTCTCCATATGCACTGTAATCCTCCCAGGAGGGCTGCGCAGCATGTTACCTATCGGAAAGTAGAAAGTACAAACCAACTAGTACTGTATGTAGTCGAAAACGGCTCACTCGAATGGTCCATAGACTGGAATGGAATTGTGGCTAGGTTGTTGGGCGGCCGTCAGCTGAGCAAGTGTCGAGATGGTTCCGAGAGCCAAGCAAGTGTCGGGGGTTTTTTTTATAATTCTAATGGCGATCGAACTACGTTGTATCTGCAAAGAGGAAAACAACTAGTGTCGATTCGACTAAGATATGGTGGACAAGAGGAGGAGAGAGAGAGGAAGAGGAAGCGGAACTATCTAGTGATTTGGACCCACATGGGTGACCGCCTTCCGGTCTGGTACTCAGCCTCAGATACTCCGGCCGGTCTACTAGTATAGAGGGTATTTAATATATCTACTATATTACATGGGCTAGAGTTAGTTTTTCTATAGAAAAGACTCCAAAGTAGTAACTTTCTACCCTTAGATAAAATTAGTAAAAGAGTGTGTCCGTAGACATTCTCATTCATGATTTGCATGGCTTGTCGAGATCTTTATAGATAGTTTCTCCTTTCTTTCTCTCCCTTGTATTTATTATTCCGTCCGAATGACACCCTTCCCTAGTTTAATGGCTGAAGATACTAGCCGAGGAAATTGGTAGATTGATAGTACGGATGTCGAATTATGAAGGTTTGAAGTTAATGAATGGGAGAAATAATTGTGTATTGTGTAAAATTGTGCAAAGTACAACAGACCCAATCCCCTGGGAAGACGATAACCAAGAAAATCAGCGGCGCTGAATGCAGTTCCATTCATACTACCATCATGTTAGCTTCGTTAATGAACATGAACCGGAAAAATATAACTCACCACTCGGCCGGCTTCATCCCCCGTATAGACCACGTGGGGGAGAGCCAAAATACAACTGATGCCGGCGTTGATATTGGCACCATTATCGCGGCAGCTGTCGGTATGATGCAGCTGTCGGATCAGCTCCAACTCAAAGTGGCCACCGCGAATGGTCTTGCTCCAAATGTTGACTACACCATGGGTATGGCCTGTTAATACCAATTCACGTTCCAGCCATTCATTCTGCACCCCCTCGTAGAAGACGCAGGACAAGACGTGGTCGTCGCCTGACTCGCAGACTGGTTGGTCAACCAACAATATGCCGTTAAGGGTATATAATGTCAAGCGATTACCGCGACAAACCATAATGTCTCCAGAGACATCGTTGATTCGAGCACACTAATTTGTCAGTAAAGGACAGCAGGTGGTAGGAAGAAGAAAACATACATCGACCGCACCGTCGCCGGGAAGGGCTCGGACGAAGGATCGTCGATTGAGATCCCATAGCATAACTTGCCCATCATTGGAGGCAGACAACAAAGCACTGAAGGAGCGTGAAACGGCGAGAACAGTTACGGGGGCCCGATGGCCAAATAGCGACCCAATGGGCTGCAAATCAACAGATTTGGAGGTTGTAGTGACCGTCCATAATGAGATGGTACAGTCCGTACCGCAGGTGACTAAGGTGCGGGAATCCGCAAAGCTAGCATGAGACAATTGACCAACATGAAGGTGCTCAAAGTGACCCAGGAGCTTGCGAGTATCGGCAGCGTAGAAACGAACACTACCATCGAAGAAACCCCATTCCATGTAGTAGTCATAGGCCGGCGGCACGTTGAGCCTCAGGGGCGCGGTACACAACAAACGGTCTTGTTTCATGGATAGGGTGGTTACTCGTTCTTCAATATCGAGAAGAGACAAAGGCATCTGTGTCAGGGATTCTGCAAGAGTGTCCAGCCGCGGTATACGGTGCCGTTGATCTTCCCTCTGGGCGTGAGGTCGGTGGAAGATTTGGTGAGGAGTTTGCCCGAAGTTGTGAATAATGCCGATGGTGGCTAACCGTTCCATTGGGTCATCAATGGCATCCAAGTCTTTAGCACCTTTGTATGAGAGGTGGTGGAAGACGTTGACAGACTCGACAGCTGCCTCACCCTTTTGTTTGCTGCCGAAAACAAGATCAATCCAGTGATGGAGGTTCTCGGAAACATAGGGACTCTCAAGTGCCTCCCGGTGCTTAGCGATGAAGATCTTGGGATCGCCCTTTGCCCAAGGTGGCAGCTCAACCGAGTCAATGGCCGTGGTCATGTTTTGGAGAAGACCAAAGTCATAATGATTGGAGTTCACCAGGAATTCCGGGAGATAGAAGAATTCAGGGGTAAGTTCTCGAACGTCGGTCATGTTCCCTCGCGATGCTGACTCCCATGCCTTGCGAATTGAATAGAACAGGCGATCGGCATGATCGAAGGAGCCGCCCTGGAGTAAAAGATATGACTTGACAAATGGTTGCAGCCGAATGAGGTAGGAGCTGACAATCATAGCAGAAGAGTAATGTGTTCCATAATGGAAAGGCGGAGAGTCATCGTCGCCCATTTCAGCAAACGCATTGTATCGCTCACGGAAGCCCATTTCTCGGTCTAGTGTTTGGCAACCCATAGGCTTGGATAAATCTCGGAAGGTGGCCGGGTTGGTAAGATCAAGTTCTTCGCTTGTATAATCTGCCAAAACCCACGGGAAAACGGGGTATTGAGTCAAGTCGTTGAACGTACGCCCAGCAAAGGTGTTGATCAACATCAGATAATGGAAGTTGGAAATTTCACCCTTGACCCATTTTCGTGTTGCTGGGTTTGCCGGAAGGTGACCGAAGACACTAGCAAATTTAGACCCGAGGGTCTGTGGTGCATCATCTTGACTGCGAAGAGTTTCAAATCGCCAGACGTCTTCCGGTCGCGAGTGTCCGGTGCTTCCCGTGACCTGTGGCGCCTTGATAGCCAGTTGGTTGCACAGATCGTCTCGAGCTCGTGCCGAAAGCAATGTCAACAAGTAGCTAGTGCCATCGGTGAAGAATATCTCAAGAGCAACATCGCGGAAGAGGAAGCGACGCTTGGAAACGCTGACCAAATCAGACCATTTCCAGCTCCTTGTGTGATGCTCCTGCGAGCGGTGGTCATTTGATTCGCGACCAGAAATCATGCGCACATAAGGATCTCGTTCCTCATTGGGGGCTTGCCAGACGTTCACAATCTCGCCATCTGCTCTCTGGAAGA